CACTAGGTATAGTATATAGAAGATGACAAAAGACTATAACGATAACAGAAAGAGAAAAATATAGAACAAGGATAGTGAATCGTAACTGGTGATACAGGCTATAATTATCAGCGTGTAATACAGAATGATAGTGGTCACTAGGAAAAAAAAATGTTATACCTCGCCTTAGGGTCCACCTGCAGTCAACCTGAAGGGCAGGGCAGTGCAGAAGTTTCCACCCTCAACCTCTGCCTGTGCAGAACAAAAGATTTTTTTTGGTAACCTGCAAACTGCAACGCGGATAAATTTTATTTTGCCCCTGCGCGGTATCGCGCAGGGGTGAAAAATTATGCAGATGATCAGCTCTGGACCGAACCGATTACACTTCTTTATGTGGATAGAAGGGACAATTAATAAAGAAGAGTCATACTCTATACTTCTGTTGCAATTCCCTGCTGCGAAAATTTCAAGAGCCAGGACCGAAAACATGCATAATTTCGCGGTTCCTTGAAGTTAAAAGCGGAAAAGTTTTCGAAAAAAGTGGCGTAGTCGTATTAGAAGGTCATGGTTGTCTAATATGGATTTTACAGAATTGTCTCAGAGCTGACCTTCTACGTTGGGATGTGGAGCGAAGGGGAGGATGTATGGATTACTACGTGAAATACTCACGTCATACTTTTCCTGAAGTTAACTTTTTGCCCAGTTTTTTACTTATTCTTGCAAAATACCGACATTGCTAAAACAAGCAACCAGTGGTCAGTTCCATATCAGAGTTTTAGCCGTTCTAAACTTGAAACAGTAACGGTATTGTTCTAAAAATGATCCACCGAAACAGAATGGCCGTTCTGAATTTTTCTCCAAAAAGTGCAACTTTTGCATTTTGTTGTAAATACTTTGGAATATGAAATAAAATTGAAAGGTGAAACAGAAAAGAATGAGAAAATATTTCCAGACAGCATGTTTAACCCAATTTTTGATAGCGAAAAACTAAAGAACAGGATTAAAATCCTAGAAAAATCAGCTTCTCAAATGTGTTTTGTTTTATCACAGGTCGATAGAAATTCATACTTATGCAAATTTGTGCATTTTTTAAACTTTTAACAAAAAATTTTTCATATAAAAAAATGAAACTTGAACAATATGGAATAAATAATCCTCTTCGCGATTGGTTTAGATAGTATTTATCTGATCATAAACAATGTACACACGAGGATGGCAAATTTCTTTCTTCTAGGCTATATTAGTCGGTGTACCACAAGGTGATAAATTATTCAAAATTTTTATAATCGATATTGATGAGCTGCAGCTTACGTGTACTCTTTGCCTGTTCGTGAACGATAGTAATACTTGGTATATCGTCGAACCATCTGTTACATGAATTTTTAAGCCGATTTAGATTTTCTAGAAAGGTTGACAGATTTTGGATAGCGAAGTTTAACAGCGTAAAAACAGTGGAAGTTAGAGAAAGATCTGGGTACTATTGCTACTTCCGGACGTGACAGCAAGCAGCTATTACTACGTAAAATAGAAAGTGTCAATAAGAATCTATTGTCACAACAAAAGCAGAAGGGATCGTGAATATGATAGTGAGCGCCTGCTAGGAATTATTGACTTCTTAAAAAGGCATCCATTGAGATTTTCGGCATGGCTATTGTAGATCTTATTACGCTTGTTTTATTTTAAGTAACAACTCATAACCTGCAATTCTTGCTCATGACATGTCATCTCGTGATTCACTCGCACGCTACCGCCAAAATATCCCCCATGCGCGCATCGGCACAAGCTGCCTGTCTGATAAAATTTCGTAAGCTAATTAGGTAAGCTATGTAAAAGTAACTTTCAAAGGTAAGAAAACAAATCTGGAGCAGGTTTCTTTTTTTAGGCAAATATTGCGCTTATATATACTAGCTACTCTCTAAAAAAAAGGTTTATTACGAAACTTAAAAGGGTATAGAGAAGTGCAACCATTTCTAAACCCTTTTAGGTTTCGTAGAAGACATGGTGCAGTACGAAACCGTTTAAGTGCATAAATTCTAGCAGTTTTATTTCGAACATTTTTTTTCTGAACAAGTGGCGCATTTCAGCAGCTTAGGGGTGTTTCCGTTGTATAGGTCGGCAAAAGTGAGCCAAAAAAATACCTGCAACTTCTGTAATTTTTGATTTTTCGAGAAAAAGTCATGAGGAAAAAGCATAACGAAATAAGCAAATGCACTGATCAATCGTTTCAATGCACTTCAAACGGTTCGTACTGCACCATGTCTTCTAAGAAACCTAAAAAGGTTTAGAAATGGTTGCACTTCTCTATACCCTTTTAAGTTTCGTAATAAACCGTTTTTTTTGAGAGTAGAAAGTGGCAATAGCTCCTGGTTGATACTATCTATTGGAAGTGGTAATAGCTTTTAGTTAATACTTTCAGAAAATGGAGTTAGCTCCTTAATGACATTTCCGAACGTGGCAATAGCATCTTATTGACGCTTCCATAAGTAGCAATAGCCATTCCGAAAAATCATTAACAACCTTTCACCAGCTTATCGTAAAAATCTCATTACATTCTACACAAAACTGTGATATCTATCTCAAGCTATTCTGGGTCAAAAAATAAATCAGACTTTGCTAAGAAAACTGACTGTACACTTATGACTGTTAAGTCGGTTAAAACTCGACTCAGTGATTAATATAAAAAAGTCCAAATTCTTTAAAAATATGGCTTATACCGTAGTGATTGATCATTCTCCATCTTGGATATCAAGTATCACATCCAATTAATTTGAAATTTTGTATAGGTCATTCGGTTCAACGGTTTTTGAAATATTTAATTTTTAATTTTTGTCAATAATAAGTCGTTAACTTTTACATCGAGAAGAATGAATATTTTTTTATATTAACATGTACGACGGGAAAGCCGAATAAGTGATTAGTGAGTTTGTGTGAGAAGCTCAAGCAATTGGATGGAAGACTTCTGTATAGCCTTCTGTCTAGAGCTGTGGTTAATGATTAGTAACGATATGGTAGACCATGCCAGAAGCTTGTCAGTTGCAGAGAAGATAAGGGACTATTGAAACTGATACCTGTCGGTATTCTACATTGGTAATGATAGCAGCAAGGAGAAATACTCTTCCTTCTTCCAACTAGGGGATTTTAAACTTTACTACTGCAACTACCTAATGTTATAAAATATTCGGGACGAATAAATAATTCACCGCAACAAAGCAAAACGAGAGATTTTACTACAAAAAACCGAGGTCCATCACTAAAACAAAATTTTCCTTCTAATTATTTTATCAAAGATCGATCTGTGAAAAATGTTTGAAATTTTTCTGCACTTATTACACGATATTTGAAAACAAAAGTAAAATTTATGATAAAGCAAAAGGGTTTAGAATATCGGCGTAGTAAGTTCTATACCTTTGTTCTCGAACTTCTAAACTCCATTTACTCTTCTATGCTTACGAGGGAAGGTCCCCAAGTAAGAATATTTAGTTAGTCTTCATTTTCAATTAAACATATACCAGTTTGTAGAGCTTGGCGAGCTGATCACGATGGCATATAGCGTTCATCTCCATACGCTGTAGATGAGGAGTTAGATCGACCTCAGCTTTCAAAAATCACTCCGCGACGCTGTTTGAAGAACTTCTATTTTTCTTCTGAAAATATGTGTTAAATCTTTTCTGCCCAGTTCAATCTTTTTTCATGACGCTCTGCTTGATGGTTTTCTTCCTCATATAAAACCCGAAAAGATTGTAACATATTAAACTTTCATCATACTTTTTTTCCATATATTAGTATGCAAATATTTTCTTTTAGAAAATGTACTCAGAAACATGCTTAGACTCTTTATTTCGGCCAGTTTAACATTTGAAAATTCACAGTCGACTACGGCGCATTCCGTGATGCAAATTCGATCGCTGAAAAACTACAATATCGCCAAAATGGAAGTTCTTCAAACAGCGTCGCATAGTGATTTTTTGAAAATTGAGATCGATCTAACTCCTCATCTACAGCGCATGGGGATGAACGCTATAGGCCGTCGTGATCAGCTCGTCTAGCTCCACAAACTGGTATATATTTCATTGAAAACGAAGACTAACACTTGGGAATCTTCCCTCGTTAGTTTACTCACGGTTAATGCTCTTTTGACTTTAAGCCCAGAGATAAGCGAGTCAGAGTCACGACTTAGACTCGATAAACTTGTTAAAATTAACTCGAGTCACTTTCGAGTCAGTCATGTGCAACTCTGAATTATTATAACGGTGTTTATTATACTTGTTATATATCAAAAAAGAGATTTAAGAATATTCTAATTACAAAATCGTGTCACATGTGAAGATTGAAGACCTAGAAAAGGACAAGACAAACAGAAAATAGAAAATGACTCGAGTTAATTTTTAATGCGACTCGGACCTGGAATCGAAGTGTTGGACTCCATTCTGATTCGAAAACGTAGTGACTCGCTCATCTCTCTTTCAAGTAGTCCTTCCTTAATTTCTTAATCTTTTTCTAAAAAGAATTTCTAAAGAAAACGATTAAGGAATTTTAGTTTCTTAAAGTGTTTCTCGTGACTGATTTCAGAAATAGAGCTATCTTTCAATAAGTGATCTCTGAAAAAACTTCATAATTCAGCCTGCAGAAATATTATTTTGATTTGAAGATTAACTATTGTAATATTCCGGAAATTCATTGAACATGAGTAGTCACTATTATAACATACATAAGGAGAAAATTTTGAAGAAGAAAGAGTTGTCATTTCTATCATGTCTTCTATGATTAACTTGCATAATTATTAATGCAACAATATAATATCATAAAGAAGTACGCATAGAAGTGTCACATTCCTCTAATTTTATTAAATAATAACGGTATACAAATATCAGTCGTATTCAATAATAATACTAATATTCATATGTTACTGATTCTTTTAACTAAATAATTTTTTTTTCATCGATTTTGTTTATGGAAAGTTAAATACGTGATGTTGAAACTAATACTGTTGTTGACTTATGTGAAAAGAAAATATAATGTGTGGTTTACAAATAGTCAATCTTTGCAATAGTCGATCAAAAAAAATCTGCAATTGTACGCCTAAAAGTTCATCCACGGAAAACGTGTGTAACATTGTGCCTTTTTTTTTTCTCTTTTTCTAATACGATCAACACAAATGGACTAGTGAAAAGAAACCTTGTACTTGTCTTTACTCATGATTTATAATTATTGATCGATTGTCAGAGTAATTTGGATTGTCAACTTATATACGTCTATCTGTATTTAATTTTCCATCTGCTATGATTCTCTCTCTCTCTCTATTTTTTTCTCTGTTACTCTTCGATGGGTTCTTAAAATAATTGCTTCGTTTCAACTTTTTCCATTCTGAATATGTAATAAATAAGATTAAGACAAAGAAAATAGTAGTTTTCTACATGATTGACCATTTTTTATTTGTCCTCTATGAAACAATTTCTGTTGGAACATGAAACAACTAACTACATACATGGAAATATTGATAATTTATTGATGAAAAACTAATATTATTTTCTTGTTCTTCATTTTGTGTATGATTATTGATATTTAATAGGAGTGAAAAACAACAATTATATTTTTCAAATGAAAATTAAATTATAAAATAAAAATGGATCTATTTTATTTGATTACACTTGTTCCCCCTATATTTCTTAGTCAAACTGGCACGGATGATGATTTATTCGATAGAATTAATTATAAATATACAGTAGCATTTTTACTATTATTAACCTTATTAGCAACTACAAGTCTAGTTGGATCAAATCGTATACAATGTTGGTCTCGAGCAAATTATCCTAAATTCTATGTTAAATATATAAATTTCATTTGTTTTATAACCGAAACATATTATATTTCGCATGATGAAAATATACCGAAAAATATCGCGGATAGGTATGTTTTAAGTAGTATTATAACAAGAAACACACATTTTAAATATTCAAAACGTTTTTTTTTTTGTTTTTTTTAATAATCGTATTACCCATTAATAATTATAGAATCATGTTTATACAAGCACTGATGTGATTATATTCATCACAAAAATTCTCTTCGTTATATATATATATATATAGCGATTTAATGAGTGGTAAATAGTGACAGGAGATAATATATAGACTTTTGTCACCATTTACCACACATAAAAGCTTATGTTTTATCGATTTGGGAATAATGAAGCTACCACTACAATCTGTTCTGTACAGATTAATCATGCTAGCCAAGTTTAAAAGCTCCACTAAAAATCTTAATGGCCCCTCCACTCGTTCCCTCAGAAATGATGATTCTCGGTCAAAACATCGATTATGAGATAAACACATGGAAAGATAGGCTGACGTGTCTACTTTCAGAATCTGTATCGCTTTAGATTATAAAGGGTGGTCTAGACGTCCTGAAGCCACTTTTCTATTCATTTTTTATCTATGTTTAAAAATTTAATATTTAGCTTAAAAGATAGAGAATTTAATTCTGTAGGAAACTGTCGATTTTATTTGAAATCAATTGCGAAATTTCAACAGAATATTCACGATATTAAAATATTCTAGTTTTCTAAAACGGCATAGAATAAATTTAACTTCTTTAGCGAAGCGTTGCTGATCTTTCAATTCAATTTAGAGATAATTATTCTAATGTCAAACGATGCAGAATTTTATGTTGTACAATCTGACACTATTTGTATTAAATGATTATTCTTTTTTACGAGAAGGAAAGCCCTAAATTGATTGACTTACGTAAAAAATCTATATTATCGGCATTTTACCCTCAAACTCAAAATTTAAAGTCATGCATTTTATATCAGAAGGTGCAGAATTTCTCACTTTACAAGATCACATACACCAGAGAATAAAATTTTAAGTTTAATTTTAAAAGCGTAATATAATATTAGATGCGACTAAAGATGGCTTCTCCTAAACTCTTTTGAAACTTTCATGAGAAACTCTTTCGAGAGCCACCTTGACTTAGAAGGATTTTGCTTTGTCACATGAAGTATGGAACTTTGTACAGAATTTCGTGCTGAATTTAATAGTGTATTGTGCTTTGATTAATAAATCTTTTTTAGTCAGATACGCTAAGAAGAACTTTAATTAAATAACTAATCAATTTTCATAACGTAACATTTTCATATTTTTATTTTCACAGCGATAATTCAAAACTAATTTCAAAATAAAATCGACTGTTTCCTAGAGAATTAAATTTTCTATCGTTTCAGCTAAATATTAAATTTTTAAATACAAGTCAATATAGATAAAAATTTAATACAAAACTGACTTCTAGACCATCCTTTAGAAGTGACTTTTCGCTGCTATCGAGCAACTTTTCCAGAAGCCTTGAAAAACTGAGTCTTCAAATAATAGCTTTTGTCTGGATACTTAGGCAATTAAATTTTTTTCCAAACGCGTAGATTTGTAGAGCAAACTTTTCTGATCAAAATAGGATCTCGTACGAGCTTATGTCAAAAAGTTACAAGCATTTTCCTACAAGTCCTAAAATTGAGCATTTTATACAGCGCATTGCGGTCAAGTATTCCTTGTAAAATTTGAGCAGAATAGCTGAGTCCAGACATAAGCAGGAAGAATGTGCGGTTACTTTTTTGTCCTGACAGAAGACTAAACTGTTGTTTATTATGATATTTTTCTCAAAAAAAAAGGAATGAAAGTTTCTATAGTATGAAAATCACGAATTGCGAAGATGGTGACGGGTGGGCGAAACATGAGCATGGAAAGTTGAGCACTAGAAATCATGAGCACAAATCTATAATTTATCCATTAAATTTTTTGTATCATAAATAGTTGAAAAAATTTAAGAGAAAGTTAATTTAATATACTATTGTCGAAAAGTCACCAGTACAGAAATTTTAATAATTTGTTGAAAATAAACAGTTGCAAAAATTAAAAATAGATTTGTTGACAATTTAATCAATATACTATTAATTGGCCATCGTCGTACAGGATGTGTATTTCAATGCGCACATCATACGGTTTGATCATTTTTACAAAAACTAATTCATAAAAAACATGCAACACATGCTGATATTGTTCATATAAATAGTGGTGAAGTAGCAAAACAAAAAAGTAAAACAAATAAACGGTTTGAACGACGTCTTTTAAATCTGTTATTGCATCCACATGATATTCTTATATACCTAAATAATATTGCACATAATATTTGTTTATAAAATAAAGATTTCTTTCTTTGTTAATTATGTAATAAAAAATTTAATATTTCATATAATAGTATATTGAATAAATTGATTAAATTAACTTTCTCTTAAATTTTTTCAACTATTTATGATAAAAAAAATTTAATGGATAAATTATAAATTTGTGCTCATGTTTTCTAGTGCTCAACTTTCCTTGTACTCAATTTTCCTAGTGTCCACATTTCCTAGTGCTCAACTTTCCCATTCCCGATTTTGACTTCTCTCTGTTAACAATGACGTACAACAATTGATGTACATTGAGTAGTTCTAGCTGTCTTCGTATAGCTGACTCCCATAATGTTATTTCAAAGTTTCTCGCATACACACACATTTACATTACGCTAGTGAAAGCGATACTAGGTACGTTATTTAACTGTTGCTCTAAAATGGAAACATTTTAGATTTCATTTAAGTTTTTTTATTCTGTTTTGGACGTCTTAACAAAGTGATCATACTTTTCTCGAAATATATTCTACAAAGCTAGTAAACATCTTATTTGAAAGAGCAATGTTCTCGCTATAAAACTGCTTAGTTGAAAAAACAAAAAAATAAAAATGAGACTCATTTGAATGATTTAAGAAGACACACGAATAGTTAAAATATGATGCATCAATTATCATATTTTTACCAAAATTGGATAATCCCTACGACATTGTAACCTGAATATATCTCTATTAAATGAGACGTTCCGCAACTTTGAACAATTCTTAATGAACAAGTTTTAAAAACTTTCCTGAAAGTTCTAATATTAGTTCTCTGACTAGTGCATATCCATACGAGAATCTACATTAACATGTTTTTTTGTTTTTTTTTTCATTTTAGGAAAAGTCGTTTGCTTAACTATTACCAGTGGACACCATTTATCATTCTATTAATGGCTCTATTTTTCTATTTACCTCGTATGATATGGCGTGCATTGAGTGTTCGATCAGGTATTGATCTATTGGATATTATCGAAGCAGCTGGTGAAAGTAAAACGGTGAAAGAAGTTAGTGATCATGATGAAATGGTTAAATATATTGTTGATACAATTGATATGTATGTAGATGATGCTAGACGACAACAAGATGCTGATAAAAGGCAGACACATATATTACGAAAATTATGTCAGTTATGTTGCTGTATGTTAGGTAAATTTTTGGGAAATTATTTTATTACATTATATTTGTTTATCAAGTAAGTTGACTATTCAAATGTTGTTAGTTCTCTTATTTTATTTTCTGTTTTTCATACTTCAGAGTTGTCTATATTTTAAATGTTATTTTGCAAATATTATTGCTAAATTTATTCTTGGATACAAATTTTATGAAGTTTGGTTTTGAAAGTATTAAAATGTTTCGTTATGGCTTAAATCAGCCAGAATCAAAATATTTTCCTCGTGAAACACTCTGTGATTTTTATGTTCGTGAACCATTGAGAGGTGGTGAACCATTACAACGAATAACAGTACAATGTGTATTAACTGTAAATTTATTCAACCAGGTATAAATAGAAAGTTGACATCGATCTATAGATAAATATTTTACTATTTAGAAACTAAACTTTTTGAATGGATTGGAAAATCTAATATTTTCCAAAACATTGAGAATTCTAACGCATTCAAAGACATTGAAAATTTTGTTTATTCTAATGAAATTAGAATCAAATTTTTCTTTGAATTGATTTAGATTTCTAATTTTTGAAATATATTGAAAAATCTGCTGCTGAAAGTACTCAAAGACAGTTGTTGACACATTTGAAGGCATTTAAGACATACAGGAATTCGATTTTGACACCTCTGAATACTGACAAGAAGACACTTTAAAAAATCTTAGAAGACAATTCGACTATACTAAAATAACTACTGGGTCTCACTGCAAGATAGATTTTGTATCACATTTTGAATAACAACAATTGTACTTACAAAATTGGATAATATCATAAAAAATCACAAGAATACTTTAGATTCGGTTACACGCTAAAGATTCTTTACGTGTCTGAATGTGGTATTTCTTGTGTATGTTCATGAAAAAGTTTTCTGAAAGTCTTAAACAGCAATTCCATTAGTCCAAAAGAATGGTGGTTATAGGAAAATGTCTCTGTAGACAAATATGCAAAAGAGGGGACTTAAAACTGAAAATCACCACTGGACTACTGGAAATCTATTTTTTGGATATTTAACCTTTTTAGCTCTTTTTTTATCAAAAAACAAAAATAGTTACGATTAGATTCTTTATCTTGTAGAAGAATGTCTCAGTTTGAAATTGGACCAGTCTTAGCTCAATACATTTTGATCTGATTGAGATTTCTCTGCAATACAAACAATCCCAATTTGGCTCACGTTCGAGTGACATTTGCTAAATGTTGATAGACAGAGCCTCGAAAAAATTGTAAACTCTTTTATAAGGTATAATTAGGCGTTTTTAGTTACTACTGTCCGTTTAAAAATATAATGGAGTAACTCCTTTTTTTAATAACTATTTAACAATGAGATAGAGACTTGCGCCATCGTGTA